TAAATGTCAACCTCTCAGTCTGCTTGATGGTCAGCTCGGGTGAAACTCCTCTTGTCTCTAAAAGGACTCTAAGATCATCACTTTCTTCCAAATTACTAATAAACCTATAAATATGCTATATAGACTCTAAAACATAATAATTAGATCATAAAATATTTATTTACCATGGTTAAAGTGGGTAAAATCCATGGCATATCAAAACACGCGACATTTTTTTTAAAAGAGCTGAAACACTTTGGTTCAACTAATAATTTATATTTTCTTATATTTGATCCCCACTCATGTGATTTGAGCAACCAGAGTCTAAGAACCACACATTCTTATTCAATGCAGTTTGTTTTATGGATTGAGTCATCAGCACCTGCTCACTGATCTCCTCATTGATCTCTTCTTTCTCTGAAGTGTATGCCATCAGTAGCATATCCTCATCTTCCCCCACATAGTTGGCTTCTTCTTCCCACTTGGGACATTTGTTTTGGAAATGTCCCAAACGATGACACTTATAGCACTCCACAGTGTTTTTGTTGAATGATCTTCCACGGCCACGTCCTCGACCTCTCCCATTGAAACCTCTCCCTCGGTTTCCTGATCCTCTGCCATGAGTGACATTCAACACATGATCTTCACCCTTTTCTGATTTCTTGAACTTCTGTTCATGGACCACCAATGAAGCTTGAAGTTCATCCACCGAGACTCTTTCAATCTCCTTTGACTCTTCAACTGAGACAACAACATACATGAACCTTTCGCTCAAGGTTCTCAAGATCCTCTCAACTACCTTTGTGTCTTCCAACACTTCTCCGTTACTTCTCATTTGGTTGGTGACAGCAAGGACTCTTGTGAAATACTCTTCCACTTTTTCATCATCTTTCATCTCTAGTAACTCAAAATCTCTCATGAGCTTCTGTAGCAGAGACTTCTTCACTCAGGCATTTCCTCTAAACTTCCCTTTCATAGACTCCCATATGATCTTGGAAGTGCTCCGGTTGAGAATCTGCTCGAATGTTACTCTGTCAATGGCTTGGTAAAGGTAATGTTTAACCTTGTGATCATTCAGCTTGGCATTGTCGAGTTGTGTCCCCGGTTCTGTGGTGAGGATCGTTGTGGTTTTTGGTTCTTCATACCCGGTTTCAATCAAGCTCCACAATCCTCTGGCTCTAAAGAAATTTTCCATGACCTCACTCTAATGATCCCAATGTCCATCAAACTGGGGCACCTTCATCTTCTCTTTTTCCATCTTTTCCTACTCTCGAGTTTAGAAGGCTGCGGCTTTGATTTGTCGAAAACAGTGCTCTGATACCAATTTGTAATATCTGTTGCTATGTAAATGACTTGTAAACTCTGATCTTATTCAATGAAAGGATGGCCAAATATAATGCCTTACAAAGAGAACAAGTCGTTCCTACAAAAGCTGAAAACAAACTGACCACTACGACCACCTAGGACCAACTGCAACCGAGAAACTCGGTCCTTATTGACACGACCAAAAGACCAAATCAAACACGAAACAAAGAAAACTTAAAACACTTAATGGCTAATTCAATTTGCTCCAACAACAGATTCAAGAAACAAACACTGAAACACAACTTAGGTCTCTCTATGTGCATGAACAATCTTTAACGTACGTTTACTTATAACTTCGTCTTAAGATTTCTTATCAGAAGTCTTATATGGTGAAGTAATGGAGAGAGTGCTCCTAAACACAAGGAACACCACTTTCTCCATTTCTAACATTTCTCGGTCTCTATGCGAACTTCACGCTCCACCTCCTTAAAAGCTTTTTCTTTTTACTTACGAGAAAATACAAAACCCATAACAAATAGGTTTTCTTACGGCATCCACATTAAAACCATTATTAAAAAAATATTTCTCGAGTTAAGTTTCTTACAAATTCTATTAATTTAATAAAAATAATTTTCAAAACCATGGAAAACTTAAAATTGGACATGTGTGTCTCTGGTTTTTGAATGATTTTCAGTAAGCATTTTTAATTTGTTTCTTTCTAGATGGCATAAACAAATAAATAAAAGTATAGCTGAAGATCCAAGGGAGGATTAAAGGAGAAAAACATAGCTAAAAAGGATAAAATAGGGTGGCAAAAGAGAGAAGAAAACAAACAAAGTAAAAGGAAATAAATAGAAAAAAGAGGGGCGTTTCTTACAAATTTTGAAAAAGAGAGCCGTTTCTTACGTACGAGAAAATACAAAACCCATAACAAATAGGTTTTCTTACGGCATCCACTTTAAAACCATTGTTAAAAAAAGATTTTTCGAGTTAAGTTTCTTATAAATTCTATTAGTTTAATAAAAAATAAGTTTGAAAACCATGGAAAACTTAAAATTGGACATGTGTGTCTCCGGTTTTTGAATGATTTTCAGTAAGTATTTTTAATTTGTTTCTTTCTAGATGGCATAAACAAATAAATAAAAGTATAGCTGAAGATCCAAGAGAGGATTAAAGGAGAAAAACAGAGCTAAACATATAAAAATACGGTGGCAAAAGGGAGAAGAAAACAAACAAAGTAAAAAGGAAGAAAAATAGAAAAAGAGGGGCTTTCTGAGAATTGAACTCGGACCTCTCGCACCCTAAGCAAGAATCATACCACTAAACTAAACGTCCTAGTTGACATGTTTGTTATACTTTAGCTTAAATAGCTAAGTTCAATATTTCAAGACCATTCGACAACTCTCTTCTCGTCTCTCTCCCACCAATGTGCCCAGTGAAACCTCAGGAACTAGGAAAGGCAACACAAGCAGAAGTTTTGTGGACCAATTTTTGATGGATAAAGATCTAAATTCGTCACCAGTTAATATCCCGGAAACTAGTCTGAGAATGAGTACAACCAAGAAAACGAGACTTGTATTGGGATAGTGATTAGTGTGTTGTGACTTGAGAATGGCAAATATTACATGCTTCAAGAGAAGATCATGTTACAGAAGATGATCCTGGAGTGAAGAAAGGATCTATGAACCTGTGTCATCCCAAGGTTTATGCAGAATAGCTTAGCTAAACATCACAAGATGGAACAACCATTGCGTTTGATTACAAACCCATTTCTAATGTCTTAGGTACTTTGTTGTTGCAGGCAAAAGAAACCAAAGTATGCTGCAACACATCTACTTATGTCCACTTACGAATCTACTGGTTATTGCAAGCAATGAATGAAGCCACTTTATCAAAATATTTCATAAACCTGACTGTTTGTTATAATAGACCTTTCAACATTCTACAAAAAGTTTCGCACATAAAAATTATGCACTTCACATACATTAATTAAAAAAGGTAAAATGCCAAACAGGAGCTCGGACAAGTTTTGACAGCAGAAAAATAACTCATCAGACCTAAACTCTACTCACTGCTTTCAGGAGATTCAGCACCAGGATTCGGATTGTTGTAGTCACCACCACTCGGCTACAACAGTGAAGATCTAGAACCCTATACCTCGGCATCGTAAAGAGCTTCGGAGAAGAAGAAAGTCCAGAGAGCCAATTTTTTTAACATAAACACCTATATTAAAAATATTATAGCTTAATTCAAAAATAGATATTATCCAATAAACCAAATTGATAACCAGATCGACTTTTGATCCAAAAAATAATTAAACCAACAATCATTTATCCAAAATCATATATATAATTAGAATAATATAATATTAATTAATATAAATTATACATATAAATTTATTCAAAACTAAAACTGAATATCAATCAATTATTATAAAATTTTATTTTTATGAATATTCATATCCGTGCATGAGCACGGAAAAATCACCTAGTTCTAATGATTATGGATGTTAAATAAGCCAAGATATTTGTTTTACATTTCTTTTCCTTTATATTAGTAGAAGAAAGTTAGTATGAGTGTATATATGGATCCGATAAACCGAACCGAACTAGAATTAAAATTAATATTAAACACAAACTAAAACTAGTTAAGTAATCAGATGAATCTAAAATTTTAATATCAAGATAACCAGACTCGAATCTAATACAAACTAAACTATTTTAGGTATCAAAATATCTAATTCATAATTATATACTTACATATATTAATTATTTTAAATTTTATATCTATTAGATATTCAGAAATATGGAATTATCTAAAACTTATCAACATATTCACAAGTAAATATCTACAAGTAACAGTAAATGTTCACAATACTGATAATATTTATTTGTTCTTATCCAAATATTTAAATAAAACTAAATTTTATGAAAATTTAAATATCTAGTCATATATTATTCAATTTTTTTATGTTATGTACTATTTTATTTTTGGATTTTAAGGACTTAAATATATTTGGATTTTTGTTGAAAATATGTAATTAAAATGGACATCCACACTCGAATCTAAACTGAACCCAAAATGATTCTAACCAAATGTAAACTAAAATTTGTAAATATTTGAATAAAATTTAAATTTCTAACTATAAAAATCTGAAATCAGAATAAACTAACTAAATCCAAATAAATATATGAATATTCATAACTAAGAGATTATACAATAAGTCTATAAATATAATATACAATATATAATCACTATACTATTTCACCCTGCGCATGCACAGCACGGGTTAACGTTACTACCTAATATATATATATATTAACATAAACACCTATATTAAAATAAAATTATTTATTCATATAATTTTATAATCACTGTATCTTATTGAAAAAAAAATAAAACTTGATCATAAAAGTTTATTTGAGACTTTCAACAGTTTAATAATTTATACTCGTTTTGAAAATTCAAAATACATCGCAACCTAAATTTAATATTAAATGTGTTATTTTTCTAAAGTGAGCTTTAGTGCTTTACACACGGACTGTACCAAGACATTGCAACCTGTATGCATAGAGATATTTTCACATTTGTCTGAGAAAAGAAAAGCAACCAGAAAACATCATTTTAACCCTGCTCGTGATAATAATGGAGTATCTACTTAGTGTTGATCCTAAGTAGGCTCAACATAGCAATCAATAAAACTAAAAAAAAAAGAGTCAATAAAGCTTTAATTTCAATAAAGCTTCATCTTTAGCATCTGGATCAGGTGAAGGAGTTGACTCATCCTGCTGCTGTCTGCCATTTTTTGCTTTATCTGTTTCAATGTGTGTTTTACTTATCAAAGTGGTTACGTCAGATGAATCTGATGGTTCACAACAAGATGTGTCACTTGGGGAAAGCCTGATGGTTTCTGCAAGAATGTCAGGAACAATGGATCTCTGCAACCAAGTATTGACTTTTAAGTGATTGTCATGTTATTTTCTAATGATTGAAGGTACTAAAAGGAGAAGATTAACATTACCAGCAAGGAGACGGTTGCACATAACTTAAGAACTTCAAGTGTCATCCGAGCATCATCTAAGCTCCTGGTGAATTATATTAGTCCTAAAACAAGAGGTGAAAAAACCAAGAAATATTTTTACCTGTGCGTTTGATTTCCTAGACCGAAGTATCTAGCAAGTGATGCCATCTACATTGTTTAAAACAAGAAAAAGTTGGCTAGGTTACAAAAGAAGATACATATGCTTGAGAAAACGACAGAGAGAGAAAGAGAGACCTTCATGTCGCCAGCTCTCTTCCCAAACTTGTGAGTCAGCAATGGAAGCGTATCGATAATAGCTTTCGGCTCTGGTGGAGGTTGGCTGATCTCTGCATATGCCTCTCTAAGTCTTGGAATATCAAATCGCTTTATGTTATGTCCAGACTCCAGCCCAAACTCGTCCTACAGAAAACACCAAAAGAGAGAAGACCAAAGCAGTGGTATTAAGAGAGAAAGAGAGATATTATATATATAGAGAGAGAGACAAGAGATAAGAGATAAAAGCTCTCACCGTTGAGATTGTCATAGACAAGGTGGGAGATTTCAGCGAATGTGGGTGCGGACAAGACTCCTTCGCGCGTGATGCCGCTTCGCCGTTTGGAGAGCGTGGATATGAGAGAAGGATCAGTGGGTCGAACCAACGTGGAGTAACTGTAGCGCTCCGATAGCGTCTTAGGGCAAACTAAGATATCCCCGAACTCAATAATGGCAACTGGCTGGCCTGCTTTGGTCGGAACCGTCGTCTCGAGGTCTAAGAATGCTATCTCGTTTCTCTCGTCGCTCACTAAAGTGGAACGCCATCGTCGAGTGAAGGATGATAACGTGTGGGTTCTTAACCGACTAAACAAGCAGGTCCAAGTCATTAGAAAGTTAGAAACCGTAACGGATCAGTATATGTATATGTAAATGACTTGTAAACTCTGATCTTATTCAATGAAAGGATGGCCAAATATAATGCCTTACAAAGAGAACAAGTCGTTCCTACAAAAGCTGAAAACAAACTGACCACTACGACCACCTAGGACCAACTGCAACCGAGAAACTCGGTCCTTATTGACACGACCAAAAGACCAAATCAAACACGAAACAAAGAAAACTTAAAACACTTAATGGCTAATTCAATTTGCTCTAACAACAGATTCAAGAAACAAACACTGAAACACAACTTAAGTCTCTCTATGTGCATGAACAATCTTTAACGTACGTTTACTTATAACTTCGTCTTAAGCTTTCTTATCAGAAGTAATGGAGAGAGTGTTCCTAAACACAAGGAACACCACTTTCTCCATTTCTAACATTTCTCGGTCTGTATGCGAACTTCACGCTCCACCTCTTTAAAAGCTTTTTCTCTTTACCTACTAGAAAATACAAAACCCATAACAAATAGGTTTTCTTACGGCATCCATGTTAAAAAAAGATTTCTCGAGTTAAGTTTCTTACAAATTATATTAATTTAATAATAAATAAGTTTCAAAACCATGGAAAACTTAAAATTGGACATGTGTGTCTCCGGTTTTTGAATGATTTTCAGTAAGTTTCAAGACCATGGAAAACTTACAATTGGACATGTGTGTCTCCGGTTTTTGAATGATTTTTGAATGATTTATAATTTGTTTCTTTCTAGATGGCATAAACAAAAAAAAAAAGTATAGCTGAAGATCCAAAGGAGGATTAAAGGAGAAAAACATAACTAAAAAGGATAAAATAGGGTGGCGAAAGAGAGAAGAAAACAAACAAAGTAAAAAAGTATAAAAGAAAAAAGAAAAAAAGAGAGCTAAAAAGGATAAAATAGGGTGGCAAAAGAGAGAAATAAACAAACAAAGTAAAAAGGTATAAAAAATAGAAAAAAAGAGGGGCGTTCCGAGAATTGAACTCGGGACCTCTCGCACCCTAAGCGAGAATCATACCACTAGACCAAACGCCCTTGTTGGTATGTTTGTTATACTTCAACTTAAATCCATAACTTGAATATTTGAAGACCATTCGACCCATAACTCTCTTCTCGTCTCTCTCCCACCAATGTGCCCAGTGAAACCTCAGGAACTAGGAAAGGCAACACAAGCAGAAGTTTTCTGGACCAATTTTTGATGGATAAAGATCTAAATTCGTCACCAGTTAATATCCCAGAAACTAGTCTGAGAATGAGTACACAACCAAGAAATCAAGTCTTCTATTGGGATAGTGATTAATGTGTTGTGGCTTAGAGTGGCAAATATTACATGCTTCAAGAGAAGATCATGTTACAGATGATGATCCTGGAGTGAAGATCTATGGACCTGTGTCATCCCAAGATTTATGCAGAATAGCTTAGCTAAACATCACAAACCCATTTCTAATGTCTTAGGTACTTTGTTTTTGCGCTGCAACACATCTACTTATGTCCACTTACGAATCTACTGGTTATTGCAAGCAATGAATGAAGCCATTTTATCAAAATCTTTCATAAACCTGACTGTTTGTTATAATAGACCTTTCAACATTCTACAAAAAGTTTAGCACATAAAAATTATGCACTTCACATACATTAATTAGAAAAGGTAAAAATGCCAAACAGGAGCTCGGACAAGTTTTGACAGGAGAAAAATAACTCATCAGACCTAAACTCTACTCATTGCTTTCAGGAGATTCAGCACCAGGATTCGGATTGTTGTAGCCACCACCACTCGGCGGAGCAGCAGCAGCTGGATTTGTTTGATAAGGAGGAGGCGGAGGAAGAGGAAGTCCATTATAATTGGGAGGCGGTCCACCACCACCTTGACCTGGTAATGGAGCCATTCCCGGTGGCCTAAGCATACCGTTTTGTGGTGGTGGAGGTAGAGGAGCACCAGGCGGTGCCATCATCTGTGGTACTCCCGGAGGCGGCATGTAACCTGCAAAAATTACAATATTACATTTCCAACTATATAAAAAAAACTGAAACGCAAAAGAGAAATAAATTATCTATGTATGTACACAACCTAAGCCAAGTATGGTACCATGCCAATGGCTCTAGTAACAAAGATTACCTTGACCAGGCATCATGGGTCTAGGGAGAACAGGAGGTCGCATCCCCATAGGCATAGGCATCATAGGGAGGCGAGGTCTAACGAGCATATGCTGGTTAAACGCACCACCAACCTGATTGTACGCTGCAGCTTGGCCAAGATGCTCTTTAATCCTCTGATCAATCAGACTTTGAGTTTGTTGTTCCTCAAACTGCTGATAGTATATCCTCACATTCGCCTGTAAAAACATCATCAAAACTCTTACCAAGCTGTAATACATTTAACACAGCACAATATATAAAACTCGCTATGTACCTTGTGTTTGTAACCGGCGTTGTGCTGCTTCCTCACTGACGGCTGAAAAAAAACAAAAGAACTTGACTGATAAGGGAAGGTACAATTCGTGGATCATGATAACTTATCATTTTGATAGGTAATCACAACTCAAAAACATAAAAGAAAAATAATGTCATTACTAAATGCAATAACGTGGGCTTATAATCACCACTTTGTTTCTGTTAATTCCTAGTAATCAATCATATTCACCAAGTAACTAAGCTAAGCCAAAGGTAACAAGCGAACCAGTGTACCAAGTTGATAGGAATCTAAATCGGAAACCTAACTAGTTCCGTTGGAGATTAATTTTCAATACACAACCGAACATAAGTTAATAAGCTACGGAGAGTTCTCAATCATTACACAAAGTAAAGAAAGAAAAAGGGAAGGTAGATTTGGACTTACGGAGTCGTGGGTGAGATAAGTGTCGCAATAATCACAGTAATACCTGCGAAGAATCAACATAAACATTTAATTAAAACCCTAATATCGAAATACATAACTATCTAAGGCTATAACAGTGAAGATCTAGAACCCTATACCTCGGCATCGTTCAGAGCTTCGGAGAAGAAGAAAGTGCAGAGAGCCAATTTTTTTGTGTGCCTAATTTTTTTTTAATAAGGTAGATTTTAATCTAACGGTACAGATCTCTCTGTGATATCTAACGGATGTTAATAACTGGAGAATTATCTCACAGGAGTGACGTCGTTTCGCATAAAACATACCATTTCTCAGCATGTCGGTCAAGGTAGATGAAACCCTTCAAGTATGAGTTGGTTAGTTTCTGCTGCTTATACTTGGTTTCTTAAGACGTGTCGTCATTGTAAAAGGTTGAGTGAATGCATTTTCTTTTGGCTGTAGGTTTTGTTAGTTATGACTCACAAGCAGCCGCTCAGAACGCTATTAACATGATGAACGGTCACCATTTAAGTGGTAAGAATTTGAAAATCCAGCTTAAGAGAGACAACAACAACAATGGTCAACAGAGTAGTTTCCCAACACTCTAAACCATCTTTAACTACACTGTTCATGACAGTTAAAAAAATTGGGCTAATGGGTCGACCCGGTTCAAGATTTGGACTGATCTTGAATGGATGCATCTGTGTCTAAACCAAATCTCATTGCGGGTTAAAGACTCCCATCAAATTAAACGCTGTAATTTTCTCTGCAAGTGGAGGGAAAATGGTATATTTCAACCTGAACCTTACCGATCGTGCTTATTCCTTCCCAAACTTTGTTGTAGTGCGTATTCCATACTTAACTAAACAAAATTTTATAAATACAATATGAAATTTACAGATCGTGCATTTTCCTTCCTGAACTTTATAATAGTGCATATTTCACACTGAACTAAACAAAAGTATAAAAATACAACACGAACTCTCAAAAACATGCTTATATATAATCCGTCAAATTTATCAGTCATCTGTTAGTTTATCAAAATGATGTCATTTAGATCAATTTTATAAAATTAAAAATACTACATAAACTTGCAAAATCATGCTTATATATATATATTAATCATAAAAGATATTACTCATCAGTTTTATGAAAACAACATTATTTTGGATAAATTCTATAAAATTAAAAATACTTTTTTGGGAGGTTCAAACTTTCACACTGGTGAACAAGCAAGAGCATAATAATTGCTAGACCAAAATAACTTTTTTGTATAAATTATGTAAACATTAACTTATATAAGTTTTTAATCAAATAAATGCTATCAATTTTTTGTTTTTGTTTTTAATTTATCAAATCAATCTATAATTATTTATGTTTTAAATTTAAATTTACAAATAATTATTTTGCAAAATTTAACTTAATTAGTATTAATTTAAATATTTATTTTATACTTGTCCATTAGTGTGAGAATTCGAACATCCCATAATTTTTTAGCTTTATAGAATTTATCTTAAATGACGTTGTTTTGATAAATTAACAGATGACTAAATTCTTGATGATCAATATCTATAAGCAAAATTTTAAGAGTTTGCATTGTATTTTTAAACTAATTTATCGAATTTATAAAAAATGACGTCGTTTTGATAAATTATCGGATGTGTAACATCTTTGATGGTTAATATATAAGAGCACGATTTTGCAAATTTATGTAGTATTTTTAAATTTATATTTTAGAAAACTTATCAAAACTGACGTCGTTTTGATAAATTAATGGATGATTAACAAATTTGATGGTTTATATATATATATAAGCACGATTTTGAGAGTTCATGTAGTATTTTTATACTTTTATTTAGTTTAGTGTGGAATATGCACTGCTATAGTTCGGGAATGAAAAAGCACGATGAATAAAGTTCAGGTAGTATTTTTTAAGTTTTTATTTGGTTTAGTATGAAATACGCACTATTACAAAGTTCGGGAATGAATAGGCATGAGGCCATTTTCTCGCAACTGGATCATCTTTTTTTTCTTTTTCATTTTTCTGCCAATAACAATTTGTAATTTTTGATAAAAAAAAAAATCAATTTGTAATTTTATGCTTTATTAACATTAAATTATTTTCTTTTAACACTAACTTTATTGATTTCAGATTTAACATTAAATTCATTGAATTTCTATATAGGTTATTATGATCTGATTTTGCCTTTAGAAGAAAGATTTAGTGTTTCAAATGTTAAAGAAAAAAAAAACAGAGAGATCAGATTATCTTTGCTACAACAAAACCAAACAGCACAACACAAACACACACATGGAGAAGGACTACAACAACAGTCAACAGACAGGTTCAGCCCTTGTTGAACCCTGATCAGACACAGCACCCAACAATCCCTAAAAATCCTAACAAATTGGACAATAATCTCTGTATTGATTTACAGACACAACCACTTCTCTTCCTTCTTGTTTGTTCTCTGCAGCAGATTAAGCAGAAACAAAGAAAGCTACAAACAAATGTGATTGCTACCAGGAACTCGTGGACAGTGACTTGAATTAGATGGTCATAGTTTCATCTTGTTCGCTTGTACCTGAGCCTAAAGTGTTGTTTTTATCGTCTGTGAATGACACCAGTGGAGAGCATCTTGGGCTCCAGTCTTCAGAGATACTGGTGGTTGAAACTCTAGCATTGTTGTTGATCTGACTCAAGAAGCATTTCTCGACTGAGCATAATGATCCAACATCATTTTCATCTTCTTGGGTAGACAGGCGGCTGAGATGTTCTTCTTCTTTTTCTTCTTGTTGTTGTTGTCCTTCTTCTCCACCTGATTCTGAACCTGAGCCCTGTGATCCACAGCTAACTTCCATGTCTTGTGCATTGTCAGAGTCAGAATCAGTTTGAGAATTTGATGAGTGAGATGGTGAATACCCTTCTGATCCACTTGAGGTTTCTTCACGTTCAGCTAGTGTTCTAGTAATGAGAGTCTTAAGCAAGTTCATCACTTGAACAGCATGCATAAGAGCCGTTAATGGATCTGTCATCTACAGTTACAAGAATCAGTAACTTCAGTGAATCTTAACAAATCAACTAGGTTATGTTTCTTTAATGTTTACCTGAGTCATGTTAGGAGCAAAAACCATGGCTATATTCCTTGCATTCATCTTGTTGGACTCTTCTTCCTCAACAACATCAGCCATAAGATCAACAGCCCAACTGAGCAAAGCAGACTCAGTAGGCTTAAGCTGCTTTATAAGTTGAATAGAGTCTTCTTCTGTGTTGCAGTTGAGAACTTCCTCAGGAGAAAGACCATCAAGCACTCCACAGGGTAACTCTCTGAACCAAGCTTTGATAAGACCAGCCAAGCAATGCACATCAATGTTTTCAGGAACAATACCCCTGTTAAGCTGGTCTCTTACATGTTCTTCTTGACTGTTCTCAGGGTTTATCCTAAAGATCCCCTCAGCCTATTTCAACCAAAGAACAAGATTTTTTTTTTCAAAAGGAACATGTGAGAGAGTATAATCTTGGTTTGGTTTTTGCAGTGTCTTTACCTTGAGACCTTGTTGAGAGTATAGCCTTTGCTGCATTAGTAATAGAATAGTTGGGACACTGTTCCCTTTCTCGTCATAAGAACATTGCATTGATTCCGCAGAGACACCAAACACGCTCACACTGCATTTATCAATATAATCAAAAGCTTTTAGAACTTGAGTGTTAATTGCAAGTATTGGTTAGAAAACCTGTTCAAGTCAAAATAGGAAATAAAAAAATTAAAAAAAAAGGAAATAAAGTTTTAAATTTTATAAATATGAGTGTAATTATTTGTAATTTATTATTTTCATCATTTTTTTAAATCTAAAAAGGAGGTTTGATTCAATCCATTTCTCTATAGTTTTTTCTTGATTTTTTTTTTTGAATCTAATTAGCGGACAATTATCAACATTATGAAAATTTCAAATTATAGCCATAAAAATGTAGATTTTGCTGATAATCAATGTCCAAAAATTCAATTAAGAAGTATTTATTAAGCTAATTGAACAACTAACTGCAGATCCAGTTTCGTATTCTAAGCTTTTATAGAAATATTTAAATCAAGAAAATGGAGATCTTTGATAGCCCTAGAAATTTAGAAGTACTAGTCGAAACAGTTACCTAGCACTGGGGACACGACAAGGGATCTCGACCTGAAGCTCGTGTGGGAGACCAAGAAAGCCATGGAACCTATCAAATGTCACGTGAGTTATGTGTCGTACATTTGTTGGCCATCCGATCTCCATTTGATGAACGGCAGAGGAGATCCCTCCGCCTCCTCCTCCTCCGCCATCGTCTTGCCGGTTATCCACGCGGCAAGAGACCACCGATTTGCGCAGCGCAGTTAAGAGAAACTCAACAAGAGAGAGTTGCTGGTTCTGCTCTTCTTCTTCCTCAACAGTCGATTTTCCCCTCCCTCCTCCTTTTCTTCCGGCGCAACCAACGCCTTTAGTCACCATCACAAGCCCCGTCATTGCTCAATCAAACACAGAAGGAGACAAAAGGATGTAGTAGAGACAAAGATCACAGTCTCTCTCTCTAGACTTTGTGGTTCTTAGTCTTCTCTCTCTTTGGAAGAAGATGGGAGAGTTTGATTTTGAAACTCTCGAAAAGGTTTCTTTATTTTTATTTGATTTAAATATTTTAAGTTTTTGTTTCGTTTTGAATAATGGCTTTTTGGTCGGATTTGAAACCCAACGGCCACTCGTTTTCAAATTTCTCTCCCTCTGCAATGCTTTTTTTTATTTTTATTATCTTATGTTTGGCTTTTAATGTGAATCACACTTTACCCTGAGATCGTCTCTACAATAAGGCCACTCTACAATAAATCTTGCTTGTTCATATTCATTTATTGACTTCTTTTTACATATATATGTTTCATTCATTTTTCACTTTTCACTGAATAAAAAAAACTAGAGAAAATAGTTTTTTTTAAGCTAAATAGCTTTGGACATTGTCCCCTTAGGTTAATTTGATTTACTTATTGTCTCATTAGGCTAAATCTTTTCTAAATGGTAATCTTACCCTTAAATTATATAGTTTTAGTTATTAATTCGTAATTAGGTTAATTATAATTATAAAAATTTTAAATTTGTTTTTAATAAATATTAAAATATAATATTATTCTAAAATGATTAAATAAAATAAAAAATTATATCCTTGCTATATTTTCGGATGGGTGTAAATATAATAAATATTTTTTAAATTTTTTTTTATTTTTTAATATCTTTTTTTTTTAAATTAAATTTAATAAAGGGAAATTATACACCTCGTCCACAGTAATACTCCATGAGATTTAAAACAAATCGGATGGGTTTCCATATTTACACCTCGTCACACTAAAAAAAATTTTAAATATAATAAATATTTTTTTTAAAAAAAAATTGAATTTTAATTATGGAAACCTAATATTTTCAAATATATTCTTGCTATATATAACAACACAACATTAGTTCTTTTTTTTTAACTAAATTTTTAACAATAACAACACAACAACATTAGTTCTTGATCATCAAAGAATGATATTTGTAAATAATTAATGCATTTTTTATAAAAATCTGAAACTTTTTGTAAGCTTTTGTTAGATTTTTTTAACAGATTTTGTTATAACTAAAATAATATTATTATGAATTATTAATATTTTCTAGAATTTTTATATATTTAACTGATTAATGTAAATAGTTAAATAAGTTATATTAAAGATATAGACTTAGTATGACTCTTTCATGGTAGATAAAAACATTACTTCTCTTTTAATAAAGAAGAGTCTTCACTGAAGATATGTGAATGTTCACTTTGCATTGCTTCATTTTTTTATTTAAACTCTTGTTATTTTGATGTAAAACATGAATTTCATATTTATATTCTATTAATAAAAAGTGAAATTCTTGTTCTTAAGTTTGTAGTGATCAGTCACAATCAAAAAGATTGTGATTAGGGATGTTGTTGTGGGCTTTATTCGAAAGGTTTAGTCTAGCATGTGTCTAAATTTATAATCTTCAGCAACTTTTTTTTTAATAACTCTTCGTATCTCAATTGTATATTCTCCAATATTCGATGAATATCTCCTTAGACCATGTGCAACGGTGGGACGTGGAGATCCTTAACCACTGGTCCATCGAATTATTCATTTTTTAATATTATTTAACCCCAAATCACTAAGGATCAATACGTAAATAAGGATTTGTTTTCATTGATCCTTAGCCACGTGTCACATTTTGGCTGGTCCGTGATTGATACGGGTTGTGTTTTGTCGAGAAAAAAACGCATTTCGATCGAAGAGGAGAAAAAAAAATTGCTCTGGAGAAAAGGCGATTTTGGAGAACTCGGTCGAGCAAGGTAGATCGAAGGTTTACGTTGCCGATTTATGTGTTTAGATTAGGTCTTTTGTTGTTTTCCTTTCAATTTACGGTTCAGTTTTCTCGTTTTCGATTGATTTGTGTTTTTCAAATTAGGGTTTCGAAGGATTTGGGATTTCAATCGAACTTTTGTGATTTAGGGTTTGAAAACGATTTAGGTTTCCAACAATTTCTGGATATTCCCGTATGCTTTGTAATCAAACTTTTGGGATTTAGGATTTCAATCGAACTTTTGGGATTTAGGGTTTGAAAACGAGTTAGGTTTGAAATCGATTTCCGTTTTAAAATCCATAGTCGTTTCAATTCGATCTAAGGGTTTTATACGTGATTCCTGTTTACATGTGATTGATGTTTGGTAACGGTTTATATGTGCTTCATGTTGACTCGATCCCTCTGTTTCTGTATTGATCTGTGATTGTCTGTGTTTCGGTATTGCTTCGTGTCTGTAGTTGTTTCGGTATTGCTCTCTGTTTGTTGTTGTCTCTGGTTTCCTTAGGATTTCTTTAACACACAGTATGATTGTTGGTTATAGATTGAGAGCACTAACTACTGTTATTACATGATTTCTTTCAGGTTTACTCATCATGGGACAAGACTATTCGTACACCCAGCCTTCCTCATCATCAGAGTTTGACATGACGTCACTGCTTGAAGCAGAAGCTCAACTCTACGCGGATGAAGGTTCGAGTAGCTACATTCCAGAGCCGGGTCAGTACACATCTCAAGCTGAGGCTGATGCTGGAATCCCTACCAGTTGCTACTGTGGTGGTGAGCCTGCTGTTGCTACATCCTACACGAGCAAAGATCCAGGGAGAAGGTACTTCACGTGCGACAATGTGGACGACGGGGAGTGCCACATTTGGAAGTGGTGGGATGTGGCTGTCACAGAGGAGATGAGTGAGGTGCAGAGACAAGTTAGGCACCTTAAGGATCAAGGTTTTCAGTGTGATGAGAAGGTGGTCAAGGTACAGAAGACCGTGTGTGAGCTTAAGAAGACCGTGTGTGAGCTTAAGAAGACCGTTCGAGAGCTAAAGACCGTTTGTGTAGTCGTCTCCGTATTAGCTTCTATAGGTTTGGCGGTTATGTGTGTGACTGGTAAGTATATCTCTGGTGTTTTGGTTGTTCTTCATGCAATTTAAGTAAGACTATTGACTCTTGGATCTCTTGTTTTTTGCAGGAAGAGCTTCAATGGTCTAAACCACATGTCGGCATAATTAGGTACAACACTACAACTTCGTTTAATAAAGGTTCAACACTACAACTATGATATACCTTAATATATGATATATTTTAATATAAGAACTAAAAATAAATAAAATGATATACTTTAACATAAGAACTAAAAATAAATAAAAAGATATACTTTAATATAAGAACTAAATAAATCTAATCTATAATGATATACTTTAATATAAGAACTAGTCACTAGTTAAGATGCAAGTAGTTACCGTAAATGGTAACTAGTTACTACTCTTTAGATGTAACTAGTTACTTCTCTTTACTTAGTTTTATATGAAACTAGTAAAAGAAGAGTGGTTGCTTCCTACCGCCTAAGATGTGATTTTTTTTAATGTTTTACAGCTTTAAATTAGGATGTTAGTGTGATTTGATTGGTGTTTAATGCAACTATTGAGCTTTCTATCTTCCTATCTGCTTCGTCTTTATTGCGTTTAAACCAAATCAAATTTAAGGTTTCCTACTTAAGTCGTTGTGTTGCTATTAGAGTGACACAACCGAGTCTCTAAACATGGATAACAACTCTAGCTATGTTAACCTTCTGTTTAGCCAAACCCAAGCATCAATGGACCTTGATTCACCCGAACCCTTTTGGTTCGGTAGCCAAGGTCTGGATCCGTCTCCAAGTCTGGACTCTGGTGCTCTCTCGAGGAGGAAGTGGTGCCCGAGGGAGGATAGAATCCTTATTTCTGCGTGGCTTAACACCAGAAAAGATGCGGTGGTGGGCAATGAGCAGAAAGGTGTAGCGTTTTGGAAGAGAATAGTTGACTGCTTCAACACAAGCCCTCAATTGGTGGGAAAAACACCTAGAGAGCTTGGTCAGTGCAAGCAGAGGTGGGCTAGGATCAACGAACAAGTCTGCAAATTCGTTGGTTGCTATGACGCGGCTCTGAGGGATGAGAGGAGTGGTCAAAGCGATGATGACGTGATGAATAAAGCCCTAGACAACTTCAACAATCAGTACAAGGTCAAGTTTAGTATGGAACACGCTTGGAGGGATTTGAGGCACGACCAGAAATGGGCCTCCACCTATCTCTCTAAGGAAAAGCGCAAAGTGGTGGACGTTGATAGAGCAGAGGAAGAAGAAGTGGGACAAACAGAGGGTCGTCCTATGGGTGTCAAGGCTGCTAAAGCTGCCACGAAAAAGAAGAAGAGTGCTCGAGAAGAGTCACTCTCTCAGTTACAATCCATCTTTGAAATGCAAGAGAAGATCCAAAACAAGAAGCTGCTTGACCGTCTACTCGCCCAAAAAGAGCCACTTAGTGAGCTGGAAACATCTCTTAAAATAAAGCTCATGTCTCAGATGATATGAGTTTAGGTATGTCTAGTTTATGTTTGCTTCTAGCTTACGTCTCATGTCTAGTTTATGTTTGCTTCTAGTTTATGTTTGCATCTAGCTTACGTCTTAGTTTATAGTTGCTTCTAGTTACATCTCTCTGTGTATGTTTGTTTCTTTTATAGGTTCTTCTACTTACATGTCTCTGTTTATATTTGCTTCTAGTTACATCTCTCAGTTTAATACTTGTAAACTAACTATTGTCTTATTTGTTTCTTTAATACTTGTAAACTAACTATTGTCTTATTTGTGCTGAGTTGTATCAGGGGTGGAGCAGTAGGCATGTGAAGGAAGTCACGGGTGGATTTGAAGTTGTTAAGTCTTTTGGTCTTTAGCTGCAAGTGGAGAAGTCACGGGCTCTACTGTTTAAGTTTATGTAGTATAAAGTAGAAGTGATGTGTTCTCTAGTGTTCTATCTTATGAAAAACTTGGGTTCTCTATTATTCTATCGGCGAGGTTGTATTTTGGGTTCTCTAGTATTCTATCGGCGAGGTTGTATTTTGGTACCATGTACTTGTAAGCTGACACTGGTAGCTCAAACTCTGTCTGAAGTTCTTGTTCTCTTGCGTCCCTTGCATCTCCTTTTGTATCACTTGTGTTTTAGGTACCAAATTCTGGCTCTTTTCTTTGACTTAATATGTTGC